CGGGCGTGTGTGTGTGTGTGTGCGCGCGCGTGCGTGTGTGTGTGCGTGTGTGCGTGTGTGTGTGTGTGTGTGTGTGTGTGTGTGTGCATGTGTGCGCGTGTGCGCATGCGCGCGTGTGCGTGGTGTGTGTGTGTGCATGTGTGTGAGTGTGCGTGTATTTGCGCTGTCAATGCAGCTGCATATGTATGTGGTGGGGGCGCGGGCGGTGTAACAGCTCATGTGTGAGAACGATGCGTATCTAATCATGACAACGTGAAGCAGCGACGAGATGAGAATATAACGACCACGACATTCTATATTGCGCTCTACCCCTTACTATCTGTTTCCATAGTAACGTGTCAAGATTTGATGGCAACGTGTAACGTCGATTAGATGATGTGGAACATTTGCGGTCATCATTTTCTTAATGTAAATCTTCTCATTCTCTCTCGGTGTGATTCATTGTGGGATTTTGCTTCTAGGAATATGTATATTGCAGCATGTCAGTGTCTCCCTCCCTCCTGTTTTTCCCGCTCTTCTTTCTCCCTTCTCTCCCCCTCTCTTGCATCATCTTTCTCCTTCTCGTTCTCCCATTATCTCTCTCATTCTCTCTCCCCTCTCTCTCGTTCTCCCATTATCTCTCTCTTTCTCTCTCTCCTCTCTCTCGTTCTCTATTCCCCTTATTCCTATTACTGCTCTCTCCATCGTAGCCCACTCTCCCGCCTCTCTTTCTCTCTCGCTCATTCTCTCCTCTCTATCTCCCTCCCTCCCCTCCCCGTCTCCTTTCTCTCTATCCCTCTCTTTTTTCCTAAAACGGAATCACAAACGAGATAGGAGGGAGTGGTTCTCGAATTTCACTCACTATATTTCCTATATCTTTCGTGTCTTACATTGCAGGATAGAGACATCGTGATCGTCAGGAATAAGGCTGGCCTCGGGCTTAGCATAAAGGTAATTTACATACGTTTCCCTCACTGTCGTATCACATTCACATTCTAATTTCCACGGGAGAATCGGTCTTATAGGTTCTACGTGAAGGCGACTCAAATTATCGTAAATAAATTTCATCTTTCTAATTTTTTATTCTTATTTTAATTATTCTAGAGATCGTTAAACTTTGATAGTAGCGTTATATTAGTAGAGCTATTAGGGTGTAAATAGATAGGCTAGATAAACTATGAAATTAAAAATAATAAAATGGATTCTTATGGTTGTGTTGTTTTTCTGTAGGGCGGTGCTGAACATAACCTACCGCTTCTCATTTCTCGTATATTCAAAGATGGAGCAGGTAAGTAATGTTTCATGTTCAAAGCTTCGTTTTATACGATCGAATACACACATATATATATAT